AGCTCGCGAGCCACATGCGGCTCTTTGGCCCCTTGAGTGTGGCTCTTCCACAAAATACCATGGCCTGGGCGAGTCTATTTTGAAGAAGTGGCCTTAGAAGAAGTTTAAGTTTAAAAAATTTGGCTCTCAAAAGAAATTTCAATCGTTGTACTGTTGATATTTGGCTCTGTTGACTAATGAGTTTGCCGACCACTGCTATATACCATCAATGAACAATTGAAATTTGAAATTTAACACACAATATCATTTACAATAGCACCCTCAAATATGAAATAATTAGGCATAAATCTAACAAAACATGACAAAATATATGTGCAGAGAGCTATTCAACTCTGATAAAAGAAATTAACATTTCAATAAATGGAGAGACAGTTCATGTTCAAGGATTGGAAGACTCAGTATGTTAGGCTGTCAATTATTCCCAACCTAATCTATGGATTCAATGCAATCCCAAACACATCTCAGCAAGCTATTCTGTGGATATCAACAAACTGACTATAAAGTTTATGTTGAAAGAAAAAGATTCAGAATAGCCAATATAATACAAAAGAGGACTTACATTGGAAGTCTGACACCACCTAACGTCAAGACTTCATATAAAGCTACAGTAATAAAAGCAGCATGATATTGACAATAGGTATATAGGTCAATATAACAGAACAGAAAGGCCAGAAATAGACACACACAAATATAGTCAACTGATCTTTGACAAAGGGACAAAGGCAATTTAGTGGAGAAAGGATAGTGTGGTTTTTGGGGTTTTTTTTTCCAACAAATGGGCTGGAACAATTGGATCAATATGCAAAAAAGTAAATTATACAAACCTTACACCTATTATAGAAATTAACTCTAAATGGTCCATAAACCTAAGTATAAACACGGTACTGTAAAATTTCTAAAAGGGAATGTAGGAGAAAATCTATGTAACCTTGGATTTGGGAATGAGTTTTTAAATATAACACCAAAAGCAAGATCCATGAAAGAAAAAAACTGATATGACTGATGGTTAAAAAAGAAAAACTTCTGCCGAAACCGATTTGGCTCAGTGGTAGAGCATCGGTCTGTTTTCTGAAAGGTCCCGAGTTCGATTCCGGTCAAGGGCAAGTTCGATACCTTGGTTGCGGGCACATCCCCAGTAGGGGGTGTGTAAGAGGCAGCTGGTCGATGTTTCTCTCTTATAGACGTTTCTAACTATCTCTCTCTTTTCCTCCTCTCTGTAAAATATCAATTAAAAAAAAACAAAAAACTTCTGCTCTTTGAAAAAGACCATTAAGAAAATGAAAAGATAAACTACAGACTGGAAAAAAAATATTTGTAATATATATATCTAATAAAGGACTTATATCTACAATATGAAAACAATGTTTAAAACTCAACAATAAGAAAAGAACCCAATTAAGAATGGGAAGATCTGAATAGACACCTCACCAAAGATATACAGATAATGCTCAACATCCAACAATTTCAAGTTAAAACAAATTAACATATTAAAACAGTAACATATATATTAGAATAGCTAATTTTTTTTAACTGACAATACTAATTGCTGACAAGAATATGGAGTAACAGAAACAGGACCATCCTAGTTGGAATGCCACATGGAATAGCCACTTTGGAAGACCGCTTGGTACTCCCTACAAAACTAAATATAGTCTTCCCATACATTCATACTTCCAGGTATTTATGCAATTGGTTTGAAATTTATAATCAAAACCTGTACACGAATATAGCAGCTTTATTCATAATCAATAAAAACGAGAAGTAACCAAAATGTCCTTCAATAGGTACATCTATACAATGGAATATTATTCAGCAATAAAAGAAAATGAGTTATCAGGGCACATAAAAGACATGGAGAATCCTTAATACCTATAGCTAAGTGAAGGGATGCAATCTAACAGGGCAAAACTACATGGTGGGCAAAAGTGGGTGTACAGTTGTAATACAATAATTAATAAACAATACAAGAATAAACTGTGTTTTGTATACTCACAATTGTACCTACTCTTGCCAACCCCTGTATTGAAAAAGTAAACTGACCAGTGCTTGCCAGGAGTTTGAAGTGGGGGGAAGGGGCGAATGCATAAGTGAAGCACAGGTGAATTTTTAGGAAAGTAAAACTATTCTGTATGATGCTGTTATGGTAGGTACATGAAATTATGCATTTGCCATAACCCAAAGAACTTTATAGCAAGAAGAGTGAGCCTTAATACATGCAATTTTTAAAAATCATTTGGGAGGTAAGGGATCTCAGGAAATAATGCAGACCCTGACAAGAGAATCTAACTGTAGTACAAAGATATGAAACAACCTCATTGAAGGGGATGGGAGAAAAAGGTGCTAGCCTAACTAACTTTGGAAATGATCAGAACCTGAAGGACTACAGGAAAAGGAACTGCTCATAAGCACTGTGCTCTAGTTGATAAAGTTGTTTTTTTATTGTCTAAAGTTTTACATTTGTCTTCTTTTTCCCCAACTGACCCCTCCCCCCACTCCCCCAGTTGATAAAGTTTTTGCCCCCATGAAGTATAGTCTAACAATTCAGATACCGCTATATGAATATGCTGAAATTAAACAATTAAGTAACTAGATGGCTATGGTGGAGTCCAGAATTCTCACTGTTTGGAGTGAAATTTTACAAATAAGCAAGGGAGAAGTCTAGAATGAGCCATACAGTAATGAATTAGAAGTGGAGGCTACAGGTGTCCAAAAAAAAAAAAAAAAAAGTCTACACATTTAACACCCTATAGCTCAATTTTGAAAATGAAGTGTATTTTAATAAACACTGCCTTTATAATTATTCAAAGTGCATATGTATATATTTTTGGGACACCCTATATATGAATTCATGTTTAGACTAACGTAGCTACAGATGGTTATATATAGAAATATTTTGTAGATGTGTGTATATGCATGGACTGTTATTCACACACACATGTATTTCTTTGCTCTCTCAGCTAAGGGGGTGTTAATGGAAACGTTACCCCTAATAATAGGGTGCCTAGGAGTGAAAAGTTATGGCCCCCCAACTTGAGGGCAGAGTACCTAAACGGAGCAGCGGCCACAGAGAGCAGCAGGGCTGGAGACAGGCTGGGCAGGGGCGCCTCAGGCAGCACTGCAACAGGGGCAAACGTTGGAGGGTTGGGAAGAGGAGTCAGCAGTGGTGCTGATGCTCTAAAAACCGGAGGGAAAAGCCAGCAAAAGCATACAGTGCTCTTCACCTCCATCGTGTAAATGAACTTGGGGTAGAAATGAAAACTTCCTCTAAGCTAAGGTGACCAGGTGTCCCGCTTTTCAACTATTTGTCCCGCGTCCTGCGGCGTTTTAAAAAAGTCCCGATTTTGGGAAAGATTATTATTATTTTTTTTGAGATAATAAATCAACCCAAGGACTTGTATACATGCATAGAAGTACAACCAATGGACATAAAACTCTGGGGAGGGAGGGGATATGTGGGAGGGAAGGAGGGCGGCAAAAAAAATCAATAAAATATGTAAAAATAAATAAAATAAATTAAAAAAAAATAAAATAAAATAAATAAAATTAAAAAAAGGAAAGATTATTTTTAAAACGCCCCGGGACTCGGGACAAATTGTTAAAAATCGGGACTGCCCCGCCAAAAGCGGGACGCCTGGTCACCTTACTCTAAGCAGGCTTTACTAGGTTCATGTTTGGCGCCTTTACCTCTCCCATCCCCGGGTGTTCTGAAGACACCAGGACGGGAGGATTTACCTCAGGGTGCAGCCTCTGGGAAGCAGCCTGCATGGAAGCCTGCAGCCCAGGCCGCGGTCGGGTGTGCAGGTGTGTGGAGAATGAGCCAGTGCTAATGGAGGGGAGGAGCACTGTACGCTGAGCACCGAGCACCTTAGAAGGAGGTGACTGCGTGTGGCCACCGGACCCACTGTTGAACAGGCACATTTTCGTAGGCCTGAAAAGAGACTTTCTGGAAGGGTCTGCATATACACCTCCAGGACACCTCTGGTTCCAGGGCCGATCCCATGAGGCGGGGCCCTGTCCCCGGCCTGGGTGTAGGAAATGGGAAGGCGGGATGCATTCACCTGGTCGGTCTTGGCATGGGACACTGGTGAGGCAGGAAGCAGGGAGCAAGCAAATGTAAGGAGTTCTGGAACCACAGACTTGGTTTCTCAACCAAACCCCGAGCCTCGGTTTCCCCACCTTTATAAACAAGTCCCTGGACTTCTTCCCATGGCGGTCAAAGAGGCAAACGAGATAAGGTGTATTCAGGCAAGTGGTAGACCAACGGTTCCCAAAGTGTGGTCCGAGGACACCTGAGGGGGTCCCGGAGGCCCTACTCTCGGAAAGGGTCTAGGAGGGCTTCCCTTTTCCAACAAGTATCCGCATCCGTGTGAGAGCGAAATCTCCTTGTCAATTTCCCCCAGGACAGCTGATAGGAGAATTGTCCTTTAGTGAACCAGAGGTTTACAAAACTATAAAGCCATGCCACTCTTCTTACTTCACATAGTTATTTATACATTAAAGATGTCATTGGCGTTAAAGTGTAATGGGTTTGTTATTTTTAAGTAAGTATTTGTAAAGTGCTTTGATTCCTCATACAGTAAAAATCGAGATACCAGCAAAAGCTCTCAGAGGTGCTCGATCATTTTTCACGTGTGGCGGGGTCCTCAGACCGAGCAGTTTGGGAACCGCCTGCGGCACCCACGAGGGAAGGTGCTCCCGTTCCTTAGGTGAGCAGAGGAGGTGGCGCCAGGCCCCTTGAGGGGACCTCTGCGTCCCGTGACACGGGAGGCTGGCCCGTTCTCCGGGCTGACGGACCGAATGTCCGCACCCCGGTCCGGGTCTGCACCCACGTCCCACCGGGAGGCGCGAGCAGGGGGCGACCTTGGCAGGCAGAGGTCGGCCGGCGCACGGGGGCAAACAGCACTCCGGCCCCGCAGGGGTTCCTACCGGGACTCGGGAAAACCCACGGTGCCGCGGGCTGAGCCGGGCAGAGCGGCGGGGGAAAGGGGACCTGCACTCACAGCCTCGGCAGCGCCGCCGCCGCCGCCGCCGCCGCTCCGCGCGCCGCCCTCCGCAGCAGACGTAGCGCCATCTTCCCCACGCACGCGCCGCGCCCCGCCTGCCCGTCCCCCTGCGCCACGCCCCCTGCGCCACGCCCCTTGTTCTCCGCGGCGTGGCCACGCCCCTCAACACCACTTCCCTCGCTGGTCTCAGGCCCTGTTTCCGTGTAGAGGAGTCTGCAGGCCCCGCCCAGCCCCTGCAAGCCACGCCCACCCCGCTGCGCATCTGCTCTGCGCACCTGCCCTCCGCACCTGCCCTGAGCTGTTGGGGGGGGGGGGGGGGGGTCCTTCCTGAGCAGGTTTTCTGCAGACTGAATCCAACTCTACCCGTGCTTGTGGGGGGTTTCAAGGCGGCTATTGACACGCCTTGCATTTTCTAGCCTGTACAGGACACATTTTCTTGAAATGTGTTGTTTTTGTTGTGGAAAATCCTGCCTTAAAAAGTTTGTGAGCTCCCTAAACAGTTTGGCTCAGTGGATAGAGGGTCGGCCTGCGGACTGAAAGGTCCCAGGTTTGATTCCAGGCAAGGGCATGCACATTGGTTGCGGGCACATCCCCGGTAGGGGGTGTGTAGGAGGCAGCTGGTCGATGTTTCTCTCTCATTTCTAACTCTCTATCCCTCTTACTACTTCTCTGTAAAAAATCAATTTAAAAAATATGTATTTTTTAAAAAGTTTGTGAGCGTCACCATGCGCATGCCTTGGTGAACAATCCATTACGGGAAGTATATGCTTGTAATAGGCAGTTGTCTGAGCCAGAAACATAACCTTCCCCTGAAACTCTGGCCAGTCTTTCAGCAAACACAGCTCCTCCGGCTTCATATTCGGGAAACTGCTAAGGGATTAAAACAGAGTTTACTGGTTGTGTGACTGGGAAAGTTACTTAAGCTCTCAGTGCTTTAGTTTCCTCCTCTAAAAGATAAGACTATAAATGGTACTTACCTCTGAGGGTTGTTATAAGTATATATTGAGTTAATTAATAAGCTTAGACCGTTCTGGAGCTAGGGATCCACACGTTCCAAGGCCCTGAAGTGGGAGGGGGCTTAGTGCACTTAATGAAGGTGGGGAGAGTGAAACAAGACTGGAAAGATGGGCAGGTATCAGATCAGGGTTGTAGTAAAGAATTTAGGTTTTACTATAAATGCTTCCCATTGGAAGCCACTAAAAGTTTTAAGAAGGGATTTGATGGTGATGATAATAATGAGAAGTAATTAACCCTATTGATCACTAGCTCTGGGCCAAGCATTCTCTCTCATCATCGAGTTTCTCTCCCTCTCTCTCTCTCTCTCTCTCTCTCTCTCTCTCTCTCTCTCTCTCCCTCTCTGAAATCAATAAAGAAATATATTTTTTAAAAAGCCGAAACCGGTTTGGCTTAGTGGTAGAGCGTCGGTCTGCGGACTGAAAGGTCCCAGGTTCGATTCCGGTCAAGGGCATGTACGTTGGTTGTGGGCACATCCCCAGTGGGGGGTGTGCAAGAGGCAGCTGGTCAATGTTTCTCTCTCATCGATGTTTCTAGCTCTCTATCTCTCTCCTTTCCTCTCTGTAAAATATCAATAAAATATATTTTTTTAAAAAGAAATATATTTTTAAAAAAGAAAAGAAAAAGAAAAAGAAGCATTATTAATTGGCTGCCTCCTGCACACCCCACACTGGAGATTGGGCCCACAACCTGGGCATGTGCCCTGATCAGGAATCGAACCCATGGCCTCTTAGCTCCTGAGTTGACCCTCAACCACTGAGCCATGCCAGCCAGACATAAATTTACTTTATTGTTGCTTTCCCACAGTGGGAGAAATAGCAGTTTTCAACATGGGAGGGAACTGTAATCAGGTGGGCTTTTTGGGTGCGTTGTTATCATTTAGGAGGCAGGGCTAGGACTGAGTGGGCAGTCCCACTTGAAAAGGCTGCTAGTGCTCCATCTACAGGAATAGACGGTTAGCTCTTTGAGAAACATGGACCTGGCATATCTTGTTATTGCTCTATGCTCCTGGCTCAGTGATAGGTATTTAATAAATATAAAATGAAAATGTTCCACTAGCCTCATTATAATTCGCACAACTGCCATATTAGTTATTCTTATTAAGAATGCCCTAGCCAAAACTGGTTTGGCTCAGTGGATAGAGCGTTGACCTGCAGACTGAAAGGTCCCAGGTTCAATTTTGGTCAAGGGCATGTACCTTGGTTGTGGGCACATCCCCAGTAGGGGGTGTGCAAGACGCAGCTAATTGATGTCTCTCTCTCATTGATGTTTCTAACTCTCTATCCCTCTCTCTTCTTCTCTGTAAAAAATCAATAAAATATATTTAAAAAAAAAAAAAAAAAAAGAATGCCCTGGCTCAGCCTGGTTGGATAGCTCAGTTGGGTAGAGCATCATCCTGATATGTCAAGGTTTCGGGTTTGAGCCCTATCAGAATACATACAAGAATCAACCAGTTATTGCACAAAAAGTGGAACAACAAATCGATGTTTCTCTCCCCCTCCCTTCCACTCTCTCTAAAATCAATAAAAAATAAAAAGAATGTCCTGAACCTTATGGCTAATTTGCTGATTCCATTTTTTTTTTCCAATTCTGCTTGACAAAAAGTACAGCTATGCCTATTCTCACCAGGGATGTTGTGGTTTTACTGAGTTTCTTCATGAAATTACAAACTGGTAGGTTTTAAGAACTGCCTTCTAATGTTGGTTTATTTTACATAATGCTATATAAAGCTTTATCTACCTGAGTGTGGAATTCTGGAGGATGTTTTTCCAGGTCTAATAGAGAAAAGGATTCGAGTTTCTCCTTTGAGGCTAGTCAAAGCTGTCTTTATTCACAGTCCCCAAAACTGAAAGGAAAATAAAGTATGTTTGCCCCAAGGGCATTAAAAGAAAACATATGACATTTATCAGGGTGAATAATCCGATGAGACCCATTACCCTGTTGAGTTCAGCAATCTGGTGGGGTAAGAACCTGGCAGAGAGCTGAGAAAGAAGTATAGGAGCCAGATTTATCACACCTCGATTGTATAATGGATTTGGCGTGATGAGGGTGGACACTAGAAAAATCAACCAACACTTATAATTGTCGAAGCTGGGTGATGCGTGCGTGAGGTGGAGTGAGGTTTATTATGAGGAGAAGTTCCTCAACTTTGTGAATGTTGGAAAATATTCTTAATAAAAAAGCTGAAAACAAAAATCAATTCAACTAATGCTCTGTATAGAAAGAGCCAGAGGCAAATTTTCCCAGAGCCAATGGCGATTGAGCCTTCCAAGTGCCCACCAATGTGTTCATTTGTTTTTGCAAACTGTACAAAGTAATACATTTAACTACCAATAGTTAAGATACCTTCTCTCCCTACTCCCACTTTCCCTCTCAGATTTCTTTTGTGTTGGATGGCACTGGGGTGGCTGCAGTATTTTGGGACTCCAGCTAAGAAGACATTAAAGTGGGATGGAGTTGGTTTTGGTTTAGTAGAATGTGTTTATGTGATTTCCATGTTTAGTTATTTTAGCAGCCCTGGTTCAGAAATGGCTTCCAGGAATACTGCTGACTCACCTGTGTAAAGGTTATTAAAGGTCAGAGGTCATAGTCCAGTAACAAAGTGCCCTTCGAGCCCCTAGCACCAGAGGCATGTGGGTAGCGAAGAGAAACAAAGTTTGAAATGTAGGGCCCCTGAGACCATCTGTGGAAGATTCCTCTGGTCACCAGGTATGTAAAGTTGCAAACTCAGTTTCATTCTTGTCTTTGTCTGATCAGATAGAAGCTCTCTCCTACTGGAATACACCCAATAGCACTGTGGGGGCGTTCACATGGAAGAACCACTTCTTCCAGGATTTCCTGCCTGTGTGGGGTCCCAACAGTAGTTGTTCACAAGAGGCATTTGCATACAATCTGAGGTGTGCGTGAGGCAGCAGGTCAGCATGGGAACCAGGCACCGCAGCCTGTGGCACATGTATGCCTCTTGATCTGTGGGCTCACCCTATTGGCAAGGGGCTGTCAGTGTTAGCTTTCTTTTGAGATTGTTTTGCAGATCTTGTTACTTTGCATTCATATCTCCTCTTTTAAAAAAAAATATTCAGACTTACACATTTATTGACATGATTCCTGACCTCAGGAAGCGATCTAAATGAAAGTCTGACACATGCTACAACATGGATGAACAACCTTGAAGACATTATGCTATAATAAGTTAAAAAGCCAGGCACGTGCGTGCATGTGCACACACATGTGTACACACACACACACACACACACACACACACACACGCACACACACACACACACACACAAATGTTATAGGATTCCACTTATTTGAGTTTCCAGGAATACTCAAATTCATGGAGACAGGAGAATGGGGGTAGCCAGGTGCTGTGGGCTGTTTCTCTGTTTTCCATGTCCATCAAGGAAAACGATAGGTTCCTGAGTGGAGGAGTTGGGGATTAAGAAAGAAAGAAAGAGACCAGGAGGCAGAAACAGATTCATCAACTGGGTGCTAGGTGGGCGCCACCTCTCTGATGGAGAGGCAGCAAAGGCGACCGCCCAAGCCACACAGGTTTATTTGTAGGGTCAAAGGAGCTTATTTGCATACTTAACGAGGCCCTAGCATTACTGGATTTACATATCTAGACCCGCCCCTGCTGACACCTGGACAAAGGTACTCTGCCAGTGCCTCGGGCTCAGCTGACAATTTAAAGAATGTCCATGTGCCTTCTCTCTACAGCCAGGGCCTGAGGGGGGTAGTCAGCGCCAATGGGTTACTATAACCTTTTAAAGCTTAAATAACTTAGATAATTTAAAGCTTAAATAACTTAAATAACCATTCAAAGCAGCAATGATTAGGAAAACAAAGCTGCATTATTCTTTTGTTATATACACCAAAGGTTCTTTATCATAATCTATTTTTTCCTTCTTTTTAGTGTCTGGCTGATGTAGGTTATTTTCACCAAAGTTGAGTCTCAAAGGCTGACAGGCCAGAGTCACTGATTTAAGACTTCAGAATGCTCCACTTAGACAGAGGCACATTAGAAGTTCTGTGGGATGATTTTTCAACAGTG